TGCATAATAATTATTATTGAATTCAAATACTTTAAAACATATTTTTTTTTATTCGCTTGACTCATCAGTCATTTTAATTTATCGTATATTGATTTCATTTTAATTTCTACAATCTGAGTTTATCAAACTCATCATGACAACCAGTTATTTGCTCCCCAATACATTTCTAATTACTGAAATAATCTTCTAATTCTATTGGGAAAAGAATCTTTATAAACAAAACTTTCTTTGGGTTTGGCCCATGAAAATTCGATCTGTTTCGAACCTAGAGCACGATACAGGCAAAAACCAATGAGAATGCACTTGATTATACTGATAGAGTTGAATACTTTTGATTTGCGTAATATGAAAGCTTTTTTTATTTTTCACTATATAACATTGAATAAATAAAAAACTAATCTGTTAATTATGTTCTACTAGTAGGGTGTGTTCGTACATGAAACAAGCATCGTGGTTGTAAATTTAAAATCATTTGGAAACATTGATAAATGATAACAATGAGTATTAAGATAAATCCTGATAAGACTACTAAGCCGGGCACCACCATTTGCCAGATAAAAGCATTGCGAGCATAACTAACGTCTGGTTTGCATTTGAGTGGTCGTCGTCGAATATCAGTCGGATCAACAAAGCATGAATATGTGCTGTTTATCTAAAAAAAATAGAAAGCATGTAGATAATAATGAAATCGATTCTATTTACACACCTATACTTACTACATCCGGTTTAAGTGGTACAGGTATCGACCATTCTTCAAATTGTTGCTTTGTGCTATTTCCATTTGAAGTCACTTCGTAAGAAATAAGAAACGTACTATTCATAATGATCAATGGCGAGTTGTTGTCTTTCTGAAGACGTGATATAACTCGGTCAACATGACAGTCTGTTTTTAAAGAAAATATTTTGAAATCAAGTTTAGACTGACGATACGTAGAGTATTTGTCGACATTGAAAACAAAGACCATGAGACATATAATAATCAGTACCGTATAGATACGAAGACAAGCTTCGATCACTTGTTCTCTTGAACATGGAAAGTTTATTGGCATGTCTCTTTAATAATTAATCTAAAATCAAATACGAATGAATCATCGATTCATTATCAAATCATAAGTGTTATTGTATATTGATTAGTCAGTTTCTATCGATTATTTCTCTGGATAGACATTCTTTTTTTGGAAAAAAATTGAAAATACAGTTCGATAGAGAAAAGTTTTCTGTATCGCCTAGTATAGATCAAAAGTTCAGCCTATTTAATTTTTCTAAAAACACGTTGCACATAACGCATTTGATATTGATCCATGTAAATATACATGTTTTCTGTACTATTGGCGCACTAAATGTGTAGACTGGCTATGTTTGACGATGTTTTTCAATTTCAAGAGAAGAGAAAGAAAGAATGGACAATTATCAAGTGAAGCATCCAATCAGTTTGTATTCCATACAGACGTATGACCCATTTTTTTTAGTAGGCGCGCCGGTTGCGTTAGAAAGTGAGTATTTTTTGTCTTCGGTCACGCGAAGCGTAGTTACTGTATGAAAAGTCATCATATAGGGTGAGCTCACTGTCTAAATAAAAGCTCAAAGTGACTTTCTTATTCGTAACACCGACATCGTTAAGGAGGTCACAGATATGGTTATATCTAATAAGAAAGCTATGAGCTCTGGTTCTCGTTAT